CTGTGAGGCAGGGAGTCAGGTCTGGGTGGCTGTGAGGCAGACTCCGCCACTCACTCCCTCTTCCTCACCACCCCTCACCCCACTCCCCCACCACCCCTCACCCCACTCCCCCACCAGGTGGCCCGCCGCTTCATGGCGTCGGTGGTGCGGGTGTTCGTGGTCCTGCACGCCGAGACCTCCCCCAGCGCCGGGGGGAAGAAGAAGCTCCCCACCTCCCACCCACTCGCCAAGTGTGCCAAGGTGGGTTCTCACCCTCCTCCCCCGCTCTACCCCCTCGGGGGTGTTGGTGTTTCACACTCTGCCGTCCATTCTTATTATCTGTTTCAAGCCAATCTTTGTAAAGGCTCGTCTTTTCCAAGCCAATATCTGTATTGGCTCTTCTTTTTTTAAGCCAATCTTTGTATCGGTTTGTCTCTATCGAGCCAATCATGCAGTGCTCAGTCACCCTGCAGTAGGAGAAAAGTTCCCTAACTGCCCCACCCTCTCGTGCGTCTCCTGCAGGATACAGAGTGACACTAATTAGAGTCACTAATTCCGTCCACTAATTAATTTAGTGGAATTTTAATTCCGTCCACTTTTTAATTAGGAGTAACGCTAGATATAATATATAGTGACACTCCGTCCAGAATTAGTGACACTAATTCTTCCCCCCTCCCCCCGCAGGTGTTCTCGAGGCTCCTCCCCCTGGGGGTGTGGGAGCTGGCCTCCGCGGCGGCCGCCGTCCTCCTCCCCGTGCGCCTCAACTGCGTCAAGCCCACCGCCGTCTTCCCCACCTCCCCAGCCCACCTGGACCACTGGCACACCGCCGAGGACCTCTTCCAGGTACTGGCCCCACTCAGGTACTGGTCCCACTCAGGCCCTAGGCCCCTAGTTCGACTCAGGCCCCCTAGTTCGACTCAGGTCCCCTGGTTCGACTCAGGCCCCCTAGTTCGACTCAGGCCCCTGGTCCGACTCAGGCCCCCGGTCCGACTCAGGCCCCTGGTCCCACTCAGGTCCCTGGTCCGACTCAGGCCCCCTAGTTCGACTCAGGTCCCTGGTCCGACTCAGGCCCCTTGGTCCGACTCAGGCCCCTGGTCCGACTCAGGCCCCTGGCCCGACTCAGGCCCCCTGGTCCGACTCAGGCCCCTTGGTCCGACTCAGGTCCCTGGTCCGACTCAGGTCCCTGGTCCGACTCAGGCCCCACCCCTGGTCCGACTCAGGCCCCCTGGTCCGACTCAGGTCCCTGGTCCGACTCAGGCCCCCTGGTCCGACTCAGGTCCCCTGGTCCGACTCAGGTCAGCCAATCATTGACGGTATTTCAAGCAAAATCCACCAATCATAGACAAGAAAATGGAGCGTAAGTAATTACGGTCACTTAGCGAGTTTTGAAAGTATGGGCCCTGATCCTTGTACTGCGTCGCTACCTACGTAACGTATTACTACGTCGTATTATTACGTCGCTACCTACGTAACGTATTACTACGTCGTACTATTACGTTGGTACCTACGTATTACTACGTCGCTACGTCGTATTATTACGTCCTATGGATTACTACGTCGCTACCGCGCAAGTAAGGTCCGACATCAATGTTACCAAGGCGGCTACGCTTTTGATATGCACAAGAGATTAGAAATGAACACGGCTAATAGTGAACGATGTCCACCGTTCACAATATAATCACTAATTAAAAAATGTAATCACTAAATAAACAATGTAATCACTAATTAAACAATTTAATAACTAATTATCCAAATAAGTTAACGTAATAATTAATTACCTGAATAAATCCACCTAATTACTAATTAAATAAATAACTTGTGCAGGTGGAAGCCCTGGTACGGCCCCCCCAGCGCCCCCCCAGCAGCAGCTCGCCTGCAGCAGCTGCAGCGTCTGCAGCAGCTGACCGCTCGTCTGCAGCAGCTGCAGGCAGCAGCAGCAGCAGCAGACCTGCAGCGTCTGCAGCTGCAGGCGGCAGGCGGAGGGCGGCGCGCAACAGCAACACAGACAACGATGACAGGCGAGACCTTAAACTGCACAGTTCGTCTGGGCTTGAACCCGCGACTCGTTGCACAGTTCGTCTGGGGTCGAACCCGCGACTCGCTGCACAGTTCGTCTGGGGTCGAACCTGCGACTCGCTGCACAGTTCGTCTGGGGTCGAACCCGCGACTCGCTGCACAGTTCGTCTGGGCTTGAACCCGCGACTCGCTGCACAGTTCGTCTGGGCTTGAACCCACGACTCGCTGCACAGTTCGTCTGGGGTCGAACCCGCGACTCGCTGCACAGTTCGTCTGGGCTTGAACCCGCGACTCGTTGCGCAATGAACCTTCTAACATCATAAATTATTGCATTATTATTGTCGTTATTTTTATCAGTGTCGTCATGTATATTGTATTATAATATATTTATTGTTATATTAACTTTTATTATATGACCTTACAGTGAACACGAAGGAGGCGCTGATGGGGGCGGAGGGCCCCCCGCGGACGGTGGGGGTGACGCAGGGGGTGCGGGAGGCGACAGTGACATCGAGATGCTCGAGACTGATAGTGATAGTGATGATAACATCGAGGTGATGATAGTGATGGTGATAATGATAAACAAATAAGATCAAAAGATTTGACTAGTATTTTATTGGGTGATGCTAGTGATCATTAGTGATACCTAGTGATGATAAGAAAAACGATAAGACTAGTATATTTAATAGATGATGCAATCATTCGATGATAAAATGATTATCATGACAGCTGCAATAGGGTTAATTAATGATAATTATTCGATGATAAAATAATGATTAACAAATAAGATCAAGTGATAGAGACTATTATTTTCCATGGATGATGCAAGTGATCATTTGGGATAATGATAATAAAAAAATGATAAAACTAGTGCAATAAATGATGCAATCATTCGATGATGAAATGATTATTATGACAGCGTGGCGGCGGCGGGGACCAGCAGCAGCAGGCGGCGGCCGACGCCCACCACCACGACGTGCGCGATGATGACGATGATAGTGCAGAGTCCAGCCCTGGGGAGGACGAGGAGGATGATAGTGAGGTGAGGGGGTAGCTAATCCCCAACCCTAACCCCTCTTCCCCTGACCCCCTCATTCGTCTAGAACCCTAACCCCCTACCCTCGACCCCTCACTCGTCTTGAACCCCAAACCCCCTACCCCGACCCCTCACTCGTCTTGAACCATAACCCCCTACCCCCGACCCCTCACTCGTCTTGAACCCTAACCCCCTAACCCCGACCCCTCACTCGTCTTGAACCCTAAACTTAATCCCCCTGACCCCGACCCCTGACCCCTCACTCGTCTTGACCCCCTAATCCCTCGACCCCTCACTCGTCTCGACCCCCAATCCTAACCCCGACCCCTCGCTCGTCTTGACTCTCAACCCTAACCCCGACCCTTCACTCGTCTCGACCCCAACCCTAACCCCGACCCCTCACTCGGCTCGACTTCCAACCCTAACCCCTCTACCCCCGACCCTTCACACGTCTCGACTTCCAACCCTAACCCCTCTACCCCCGACCCTTCACTCATCTCGACTTCCAACCCTAACCCCTCTACCCCCGACCCTTCACTCGTCAAGGTCCTGGGTCTTGCCTTAGGTTCTGGATCTTGTCTTAGGTCCTGGGTCTTGCCTTAGGTCCTGGGTCTTGCCTTAGGTCCTGGGTCTTGCCTTGGGTCCTGGGTCTTGCCTTGGGTCCTGGGTCTTGTCTTAGGTCCTGGGTCTTGCCTTAGGTCCTGGGTCTTGCCTTAGGTCCTGGGTCTTGCCTTAGGTCCTGGGTCTTGCCTTGGTCCCGGGTCTTGTCTTAGGTCCCGGGTCTTGTCTTAGGTCCTGGGTCTTGCCTTAGGTCCTGGGTCTTGCCTTAGGTCCTGGGTCTTGCCTTAGGTCCTGGATCTTGAATAAACTCGAATTATTCCCTTATATTAATAGATGATTGATCACTGAATAATTGAATATCGATTTAATAATAATCTTGGGTCTTGTCTTAGGTCCTGGGTCTTGCCTTAGGTCCTGGGTCTTGTCTTGGGTCCTGGGTCTTGCCTTAGGTCCTGGGTCTTGTCTTAGGTCCTGGGTCATGAATAAACTCGAATTATTCCCTTATATTAATAGATGATTGATCTGTGTATGATTGAATATTGATTTAATAATATTAATCAATAATTATAACAAATAAGATGTTTTATAATCATTATTTGATTTATTTTACTTGATGCATTGCAGGAGCTTGCGGGGCAGCGGCCCCGGTTCCTCCTTGGGAGGCTCGGGCCCCAGCAGCGGGGGTGCGAGTGGTGGCCCCACGGCCCCCGCGGGGCTCATCTACATCGACCCCACGTCCCTACGACGCCCCTCCCCAGCCTCGTCGTCGTCAGCAGCTGCAGCAGCCGCGCTGTCAGCTGCAGCAGCGGCTGACAGCGTCAGCATCGCTGCCAGCAACCACACGCTCGCCCGCACCTTCACCATCCTGACGCGGACGCTGGCGCAGCTGCTCACGCAGGTCAGGGCCTGACACTGCCTTTAATTATAATATATTTGTAGTATATAGGTAATATACATCATATTATATATATTTAATATACAGCTGCTGACGTAGGTCAGGGCTGACACAGCCTCTAATTATTATATATAGGCTGTATATTGGTAATATATATTATATATATAGCTTATATTATATATTATCTTACCTATAATATATTATATGTATATATTAATGTACGAGTATGAAGCGTTATAGATAAAATATTATTATATATCGTTTTAAATACTGTGTGGATATATTATTGTATGAATTGTTATTGATACAATATTACGTATATAATGTATCATTGTAGATATATTATCATGTTATATATCAATACAAATATCAGTGTATATATTAAGTAACTAATATATTATGTATATATATATTAACATATGGATGCATTGGGCAGGCGCTGACGGGGGCGCGCTCGCCCCCCCAGGCGGGGGAGGCGGGGGGTGAGGTGCAGCTGACACTGCCAGGAGTAAGTCAGCTGCTGCAGCAGGTGGACAGTCAGCTGCAGCCCGCCTGGGACTGGCTGCTGTCCCTCATGGACACCACGGAGGCCCAGCTCAGGTTTGGCCGCCAGCTCAGTCAGGCCATCGAGGCCGCCGCCCCCGCCACCACCACCACCGCCGCCGCCGCCGCTGCTGCTTCGGTCCTCCCCAGCAGGTGGGTGTTGGGGGCCCCATGTTTGGGGGAGGGGTAATCATACGGGGGAGGGGCTGTCTCTTATACACATCTAGATGTGTATAAGAGACAGGCTTGAACCCGCGACTCGTTGCGCAATGAACCTTCTAACATCATAAATTATTGCATTATTATTGTCGTTATTTTTATCAGTGTCGNGGGGGAGGGGTAATCATATGGGGGAGGGGTAATCATATGGGGGAGGGGTAATCATATGGGGGAGGGGTAATCATACGGGGGAGGAGGGGTGAATGGTATTAACCACTCATAACCATTCATGTCGGTATTGATTGTCATCAGTAATCATTGGTAGCATTGCTAATTATTTTCCTGGGTAATCATAATCATCAGTAATTATAGTAACTGGTAATAAACTAATTATCTCTGTAAAGTAACTCTGGTAATTTTATAAATTATATATATAGGTAATATCTGTAACTTTACGGTAATTATCAGTAATTCTGGGGTAATGATTGGTAATAGCCTAGCATTTTTTGGTAATATGTGGGTATCATTTGCTGGCCATGTATTATTAGGCACCCATTACCCCCCTCACTTCCCCCACAGCAGCGCCCCCAGCAGCAGCAGCGGGGGAGGGGCCCGGGCCCGTGGGTCCAGCAGGAGCCTCTCCTTCATAGGCGCCTCGGTCACCTCAGCCCTGTCCCGGTGGGTCCGGGGGACACGGTGGGTCTGGGGGACCCGGTGGGTCCGGGGGCTGTGGGGATGGGGGACCCGGTGGGTTTGGGGGCTGTGGGGGACCTGTAGGTGTGGGGGCTGTGGGGGACCTGTAGGTCTGGGGCTGTCTCTTATACACATCTAGATGTGTATAAGAGACAGGTCATATACGAATGAACTCCTCGATCAACGGCCAATGTTGTTTCCCAGCTTTTTGGCGCAACTGCTGGAATAAGTTCTACTTTTACAAGAANGGTCCATGTGGGTCATGGGTCCATGTGGGTCATGGGTCCATGTGGGTCATGGGTCCATGTGGGTCATGGGTCCATGTGGGTCATGGGTCCATGTGGGTCATGGCTGGAGGTTGGGCCCATGGGTCGTGACCGGGTCTCTAACTGGGTCAATGTTCGGTGGCTGGACTCCTAAATGAGTCCATAGGCCATGGCTGGGCCCTGGGGTCATAGCTGGGTCCATGGGTCATAGCTGGTCCCATGGGTCGAAGCGGGGCCCCTGAATGAGTCCATGGGCCATGGCTTAACCCATAGGTCGTGGATGGACTTGTGACTGGGTCCATTCTCCGTGGCGGTGTTCTTGGGTCGCCCTCAGACTCCTGGCGTGAGGGAAAAGTCGCTCTCCCCTCACCCGTTAGCCCTTAGGGAAGGCACCTGATGATATGTGTATATAATGTTATACATAATACAAATGTGTAATTGTATGTTATACATTAGTTGTATAATACCTGATGATGTATATTTAATGTTATACATAATATACATAAAATGTATTTGTATGTAAGATAATACATGTATAAAATAACACAAGATGTACCGCATACAAATAATGTATTTGTATATAATATAATATTTGTATAATGTAACACAAGACGTACCACACAGCATATGTTTTCGACGCCCTCATGAGCTACGTCCGCTGCTGCGACGTGGACGCCTCGTCGTCTTCGTCGCCGCCGTCGTCCGCCGCTCCCCGCACTGCGCCGCCCGCCTCGGCCACCTCTCCCCCCTCCTCCTCCCCCGCCACCCCCTCCAACATCAACCCTCCCACCGCCGCCGCCCCCCACGTCCCCAACGACCCCATCGCTCCCTGGGACCGGGACGACGAGGATGACGATATGCTGAGTGATGACGTCCCCACCAACATCCTCCAGCCGCCGCCCCCGCCGCCTGTCTCTTCTTCTCCCGACATGGGACCTACAGGATTAGGGCCATCTGGGTCCGCTGGGATGGGACCATCTGGGTCATCTGGGATGGGACCGTCTGGGTCCGCTGGGATGGGACCCTCTGGGCCTGCTGGGTTGGGACAGTCTCCAGGATTGGTACTTCAAATGGACCCGTTCGCGGGACTCCCTTTCTGCTCGGGCCACAGGATGAACCCCGTGGCGTCGGGACTGCACCGGGCGGGGACGGCGTCCATGTTCCCCGCCATGGAGACGGAGACCCGGGACTTGTCGTCCCCAGTTGAGGCGGCCGCCCTCGTGGACGAGATGGCCGCCGCCCGCCGCCACGTCTTCTTCCAGGTGAGCAATGCGTGGCGGAGGTACGATAGTGACGGGACAATTGGGTGGCTGAGGTACGATAGTGGCGGCGCTGTTCGATGGCGGAGGTACGATAGAGGCGGGACTGTTCGGTGGCGGAGGTACGATAGTGACTGGACTATTGGGTGGCTGAGGTACGATAGAGGCGGGACTGTTCGGTGGCGGAGGTAAGATAGTGGCGGGGCTGTTGGGTGGCGGAGGTACGATAGTGGCGGGACAACTGGGTGGCTGAGGTACGATAGTGGCGGGACAATTGATGGCGGAGGTACGATAGTGGCGGGATAATTGGGTCGCTGATGTACGATAGTGGCAGGACAATTAAGTGCCTGAGGTACGATAGTAGCGACACAATTGGGTGGCTGAGGTACGATAGTGGCGACACAATTGGGTGGCTGAGGTACGATAGTGGGTAACAGTTGCGTGTAACAACTTTGACGTAAAAGCATTAAGAATCTATTACATTTGTTTTTAAATAAAACACCACGTAATTGTTACTGCTGTTATTATTGTTGCTCTTGTTATTGATGGTAATATTAGCAATTGGGTGGCTGAGGCACGATAGGGGCGGGACAACTGGGTGGCTGAGGTACGAGAGTGGATAACAGTTGCGTTAACAACTCCGTTGTAAAAGCATTATCAATCTATGACATTTGTTTTAATATAAGACCACGTTATTGTTATTGATGACTAGTTTTAAATAAAAGACCATGTAATTATTATTGTTATTGATGACTAGTTTTAAATAAAAGACCACGTAATTATTATTGTTATTGATGACTAGTTTTAAATAAAAGACCACGTAATTATTATTGTTATTGCTGACTAGTTTTAAAATAAAAGACCACGTAATTATTATTGTTATTGATGACAATATTAACGAGGGTTCGTATTGCAGCGGAGCCCCTCGACCCTGTGCCTGGGGTCGGGCCCCCCCGACGTGTTCGCCACCCCCCTCCCCGAGGCGCTCCCCCTGGCCGACCGCCCCCACCTCCTGCAGCCCACCGCCCGCGGGGAGGACCTGTGGGGCACCCACCGCCCCTACACCCGCAACACGGGTGCGTGGGACACGGGGGGGCTGTGGGGAGATGGGTGTCACGGGGTCTAATATTTTCTTTGGGTCCAGTCATATCGTGGGGGTCTAGTCATACCTAGGGGGTCTAGTCATACCTTGGGGGTCTAGTCATACCTTGGGGGTCTAGTCATACCTTGGGGGTCTAGTCATACCTTGGGGGTCTAGTCATACCTTGGGGGTCTAGTCATACCTTGGGGGTCTAGTCATATCTTGGGGTCTAGTCATACCTAGGGGGTCTAGTCAGTCATACCTGGGGGTTTAATAATCCCTCCCTTGGGGTCTAGGCATACCTTGGGGGTCTATTCATCCCTTGGGGTGTATTCATCCCTTTGAGGGTCTAGTCCGTTTTTGTTGTCTAGTCATACCTTGGGGTCTATTCATCCCTAACCCCATCTCACGTGTGCAGGTGAGGGGACCAACCTGCCCCTCAGTCGACCCCTCGGGCCCCTCGGGATGGGCCAGAACCTCGTCAGGTCCTCAGAAGTCCTCGGCCCAGCGAGCTATTCTAACCCCTTGGGTAGTCCCCTCGACATGGAGGGAAATGAATCTTCTTTTAACCCCTCCCGACCCCTGGACCCTAATTTCAACCCCTCACGACCCCTGGACCCTAATTTCAACCCCTCCCGACCCCTGGACCATAGCTTCCCCTCCGCCCGATCTTCAGACTTCAATTTTAACCAGACCCCGAGGGGCTATAACCCTGAAGCTGACCTGCTAGACCTCCTGCATATACTAGACACAGGCTGCGTCATCACCAACCCCACCGCCAACCCCAACCCCACCACCGCCACCACCGCCGCCGAATATCTCGTAGACCTCAGCGTCGGCAGAAGCAGGGTGCGTTGTTACACTCAATGTGTGGCGTGGGTTGTTGTTACCTTATCTTATGACTTTATGAGTTCGGGACTTCCTAGTCCCCGGTCACGCTGATGCGCCGCCTTCGTCGTCCTCCGAGTCGTCGCTAGGCAGGTCACCCCGCCCTCGGGTCCCGGATGTAACGTTGCACGTCTTCTGTCATTTGCCCTTTTTTGGGCCAGCTTTTGCAAGTTACGTTTTGGTTACGTTTTTTTAACTTGAAATTTTTCCGCAGGACGCGTCGTCGTCGGCCGCCCTTAGGGCGCCCATAATCGTCACCCCCCGACGGGTGAGCGTGACCACCGGCCTCCCCCAGCCCCCCTCCTCCTCCCCATCACCCTACTACCCCCCCTCATCATCTGGGGGTGATAACCCCCACCCCTCCCCCCAGGACCCCCTCGTCAAATCAGTGATCGTCAGAGTAGGGGGCAGCACCACCCCCTCACAAACCCCCACCACTCCCCCACTCTCCGTACCCTATAACCCCCCACCTCCGTCGGAGAACCCGAGTGAGCCCGTGATCCAGCCCGGACCCGTGATCCAGCCCGGGCTGGTCCGCCGTGGGGTCCGGCAGGAGCTGCTGCTGGGGCGCTGGAGGTTCACGCTGGAGCTCTTCGGGCGGGTCTTCATCGAGGACGTGGGCCAGGAGCCCGGGTCCGTTATCGTCCAGCTGGGGGGCTTCCCTGTGAAGGAGGCCCGCTTCAGGCGGGACATGGAGAAGATACGCAACAACCAGCAGCGGGACCTGTCCCTCTCCAAGGTGGGGACCTGTGGGGACCTGGCACTGTACGAGGTGGGGACCAGTGGGACCTGTCCCTCTCCAAGGTGGGGACTAGCGGGACTTGTCCCTCTCCAAGGTGGGACCAGTGGGGACCTGTCCCTCTCCAAGGTGGGAACCTGTCCTTCTCCAAGGTGGGGACCTGTCCCTCTCCAAGGTGGGGACCAGTGGGACCTGATCCTGTTTTAGGTGGGGACCTGGCACTGTCTATATTGGGGACCAGGGAGGACCTGTCCCTCTCCAAGGTGGGGACCAGTGGGGACCTGTCCCTCTCCAAGGTGGGGACCAGCGGGACCTGGCCCTGTCTAAGGTGGGGACCAGGCAGGACCTGACCCTTGAAGGTTGTGAGGGTAGTGAGGGGTCATTGTGAGGCTAGTGAGGGGTCATTGTGAGGGTAGTGAGGGGACGTTGTGAGGGTAGTGAGGGGTCGTTGTGAGGGAAGTAACCGTGCCCTTGCCCTCAGATGGAGCGCGACCGCTGTGCCCTCATCTGCCAGACGTTCAAGGAGTTCAACTCCCACTACAGCGGCGCCCACAGTGGCACCCACCGGCGCCCCCAGCACCCCCAGGTGGGTGACAACTGCCCCACCGGCGCCCCCAGCACCCCCAGGTGGGTGACAACTGCCCCCATCGGCGCCCCCAGCACCCCCAGGTGGATGGGTGACAACTGCCCCAGCACCTACAGGTGCCCCCAGCACCCCCAGGTGGGTGACGTTATTGAAGTCTCTTAGCGCAGATATAATTTGTAACAGTTCTGTATAGGACAGCGATGCCTCAACATACAAACGCCTCCACATGCACATTTTTTTTTCTACAAACCTGAGGTTAGAGATCCATGAACATGTTTGCTTGTGGACCGATTTGATGCTACCTATATATATTCACTTGTGTTAATACACATATAACAAAATTGTTCCCACGTACAAGCATTTCCTCGTATAAACCAAGTCACGGAACGAATTGAGTTTGTAAGTTGAGATATGGACTCGATGCCCTTGGCCTCTTGAGGACCTTTGGTCTAGGATATCTTATACTTTTTCTGTTTGGTACGACAGAAAATAATGCTATGTGACTGGTGGGAAAATTGTCTTGCATCCCTATGTAACGGACCCCTTGTCCCTATGTAATGGAACCACCTGTCCCTATGTAATGGACCAACCTGTCCCTGTGTAATGGACCCACATGTCTGTGGGACGCACATGTCCCTATGTAATGGACCCCTTGTCCCTATGTAATGGACCCCTTGTCCCTATGTAATGGACCCCTTGTCCCTATGTAATGGACCCCTTGTCCCTATGTAAACGGACCCCATGTAATGGACCCCTTGTCCCTATGTAACGGACCCCTTATTCCTATGTAACGAACCCCTTGTCCCTATGTAACGGACCCCTTGTCCCTATGTAACGGACCCTTTGTCCCTATGTAACGGACCCCTTATCCCTATGTAACGGACCCCTTGTCCCTATGTAATGGACCCCTTGTCCCTATGTAACGGACCCCTTGTCCCTATATAATGGACCCCTTGTCCCTATGTAATGGACCCCTTGTCCCTATGTAATGGACCCCTTGTCCTTATGTAGCGGACCCCTTATCCCTATGTAACTATGTAACGGACCCCATGTAATGGACCCCTTGTCCCTATGTAACGGACCCCTTATTCCTATGTAACGGACCCCTTGTCCCTATTTAACAGACCCCTTGTCTCTATGTAATGGACCCCTTGTCCCTTTGTAACGGACCCCTTGTCCCTATGTAACGGACCCCTTGTCCCTATGTAATGGACCCCTTGTCCCTATGTAACGGACCCCTTGTCCCTATGTAATGGACCCCTTGTCCCTATGTAACGGACCCCTTGTCCCTATGTAATGGACCCCTTGTCCCTATGTAACGGACCCCTTGTCCCCCAGACGAACCCCCCGCTGGCGGTCAACAGGGTCAAGGTCACGTTCAAGGACGAGCCCGGCGAGGGGTCAGGGGTCGCCCGCAGCTTCTACACGGCCTTGGCAGAGGCCCTCTTGTCAGCCCAGCCCTTGCCAGCCCTTGACACCTGCCAAGTGGCGTCGGTGAGTCCTTGTCAGCCCTTGCCAGCCCTTGACGCCTGCCAAGTGGCATCAGTGAGTCCTTGTCAGCCCTTGACACCTGCCAAGTGGCATCGGTGAGTCCTTGTCAGCCCTTGACACCTGCCAAGTGGCGTCGGTGAGTCCTTGTCAGCCCTTGCCAGCCCTTGACGCCTGCCAAGTGGCATCAGTGAGTCCTTGCCAGCCCTTGACACCTGCCAAGTGGCATCGGTGAGTCCTTGTCAGCCCTTGACACCTGCCAAGTGGCGTCGGTGAGTCCTTGTCAGCCCTTGCCAGCCCTTGACGCCTGCCAAGTGGCATCAGTGAGTCCTTGTCAGCCCTTGACACCTGCCAAGTGGCATCGGTGAGTCCTTGTCAGCCCTTG